TCGCATCGGCGGAATGTCATCTCCATCCATCTTCTTCACAGGATCATCCTTGATATTATCCCACAGATCTTTGGCATCGAATCCAACTCGGCTGGTCACAAGGGTCAGATGGGGTACAATCCCATAACGCTGCGCACTCTCCCTCATTTTGGGCAAAATAAGCACAGCAAGAAGGAACGTGCTGAGCACATTGACAGTGACAGCCAGGCCGTGACCTTCAGCTAGGACGCGCTCTGACACCGCAACAGCCGCATTTTCGATCACAGCATCGATCCGATCAAGCTCTGCAGTCGCCTTCTGCGCAAATGCCTTGACAGAGTCATAGCTTGCTAGATCAAGCGACCAGACCTCAGCAACACCAATTTTTCCTGTGGATTCTTCGATTTCCTTCTTAGCCTTCTCGCCCGCGCTGAGGTTACGTACGGCGAGGATGACTTTTGCAGCTTCGAGACTGACCAAGTGCTTGGCTGCCTCAAAGCCTAGGCCGGTGTTGGCACCGGTAACAATGTAGGTACCACCAGAGCAGGTTTCGGTGGTAGCTAGAAGAGGGAGATTCCGGCGTTGAGTTTGAACTGCAGAAGCCATGACGTGTAGATCTCTGATATTGGAGGTTGTTACACAAGTGATGATATTCAGAATGTAAGAATGATGTTGGTGTTTGCTCCCATCTCTACACGAGCCAGGGCTGGATTTTATAGCTGAGTCCCTGAGCTGTTAGCATCATATAGTCGGCGTTTACGGACTCAACAACATTGCTACGAGCGGATTTTTGATCTAAGTCCGAGTTGATTGACGTCTTTGGACAGAATTACCTATGGAGTAGCCTCAAAATGTGACAACCCAGCCAATAGGAGACTGGCTTCCTAATCGGGAAGGTCTTGGCGCTGTCGCGGTACTATGCGGCATGGCCATTCCCCGGCGTCTTTTGACATGCGAAGGCTTGCGTCCGTGCAGATTTGATAGTATACGTGATTAGTTCCTGAGAGAGCGCGAAAATATCGCTAGTCGCGACCAGAGTGGCATACGCCTATCTCTCCTCGTCAGTATAGTTGTTCCGCCGAGTGCGCGGTATGGTGAATCGTCAATATCACCGAATAGACCTCGTTCACTATGGGGTCTTGATTCGTGGTATGTGTCTCAATGGGAACCGGCGTTAGGTTGATCGTATCTTGCTGAGATGTATAGATAGGTCTGTTCGGGGCGTTGCGGAGGTTCTTCTCATCAAGTGACAACGTCAACCTACTTATCCCGATGCTCGTATTCGATCCTGACTCACCCGATGAGATTCATCATATATATAGAACACTTTTCCCAACTTATCCAACGACCATCTTGCGCACTTAGTCTCACAATTACAGCCATCTTTGCAACCATTATCATCAATGTTCCCTTTCCGCCCAGTCAATCTCCCACCGCATGTGCTGGCTACAAGCACCGCCATCATAGGCCTGAGCCTCTACGTCTCGCTATTTCGCAACTCGCCATTGAAACACCTCACTGGACGCGACGTCTTCGTACCAGCACCTTCTACCCGCCGAATCGCAGACACCAATGCCCTCCTCGGCGTCGTAGCATGTGCCCTGCAGCTGCCGTATTTCCTCTGCTCGTACATGCCCATTGAAGAAAATCAGTGGCTGCACGTCACTGTGCCGTGTAGACTGGCTGTTTCCGCCGCTCTTGGTTTGAATCTCCTCTTGCGCGGGCGCCGCATGAGTGACGAGGGTTTCTGGGAGTTTTTGGCGCTGGGAGTTACGGATCTTGTGGGTGCTGTGATGCTTGGGTGGGAGCTGGGGAGGTTTGATGGGATGGTGTCGGGATTTGAGTGAACTTGGGATTTGAGCAGGCTTCTTCTCAGGTGAGGTAGTTGGTGTGTGGCATAGTGTGATATTCAATGATTGTATCCTTGATGTCATCGTTTGTACAATGAGAGGCTTCAGCTGGTTCAGACTGTAAGTCTAGAAGAAGATGCTTATATTTCGTGTATACGTATTCCCCGGGAAGTGATTTTACATATGCAAGCTTAGATGAATCGTCCCATCATATTTGAGGAGCACCATCAGTCAACCTGCGTGAGCTAGCTAATACATCAGTCGAGTTATATGCTACTGCATATGCTCTCAGCGGACTATTGGAGTTATTTTGACTAGCACGCAGTATTGTACTCTGTTTGGTATGGAACTTAGGCTAAAGTGGGTGCCGGATCGGTCATTGTACCTGCCGGATCCGGTAACAATGGGGCGATCGCGGGCGGGGGAACCTGGAGAACGGGATTCTGGGGTTCCTCCCCGCATGTCGGGCTTATTCCGAAGGCTAGGAATGGGACATTCACTTGACAGAGTCGATGTCTATCAGTAATAATATCGCTTAGCTGACAGTTTTTCTGTTGGAGTTAATGACTACCAAAGGGTGGTTAAAATCCTTATCAGAAGGCTTGATCTGCGCCAGCAGTGTGACCTCGGGACGTCATATTAAAGACTGTTACGCAATCTGGATAGAGGCAAGAAGCTCACCTATAGTAATATATTCCGCTCTCCCATGAGGGACGCCCTGGGATAGGTCTACACACCATGGCACTTATAGTACCCTGTAAATTGTGATTGTCCCGCAGCATCGTGAATGGTTATATGATTTCCAAGGAGTTGTCTTTATGACAGACACCTTCGGATAGCCATGTTACCACGTCCATGTTCGGCTAAGATGCTGACACAGGATGTTACCCCAAATCCACCTGCGAAACCTGCACTGTGGGTCTCCGTCGTGCAGATCGCTTCTCTTTGTCCTTTCTGTGGTGGTATATAAGGGTGCCATATCCATCTGCCGACATGCTCATCGAGGTTATCAAACGTATGCTCGCGCAGCTCGACATAGCAAAATATGTTAACACCAGAGCGCAAAAAGAAGCCCTACTTCGGGCTCACCGGAGGATGGCTCACGTTCTGGATCACGGTGAGTACTGAGAATTTATAATCAATCTCATACTAAGACCTAAGCAGATTGCGTGTGCTACAGACATGACATTGTTCGGCTATGACCAGGGGGTGTTTAGTATGTATATGATCTAGTGCATCCTACCAATGGGCTAATAAGTCCCTTAGGCGGAGTCGTCGTCACAGAGGACTTCCTAGTCGTCCATGATCTTGTCGGGCCAACCAAGACGAAAACCCTATCCACCGTTACGGCCATTTACGACGTCGGCTGCTTCCTCGGCTCGATTCTAGCTTTCATCGTGTCCGAAAGGCTCGGTCGGAAGAAGTCCATTCTTCTTGGAACAACCATAATGGCGGTCGGTACTATCCTTCAAGCCAGTTCTTACAGCTTGGCGCAGATGTTCGTCGGCCGAGTGATCCTGGGGTGAGGAGACCATTAATCGAGCTACATATAATGGCACAGAGCTGATATCTTTAGTATTGGCAACGGAATCAACACCTCTACAGCGCCGGTGTGGCAAACCGAAACTGCCACCGTCAAATGGCGAGGAAAGCTGGTCATCCTGGAAATGGCACTCAATGTCTCTGGCTTTGCGCTAGTCAATTGGATCAATTATGGTCTTTCTTTCAAGGGTGGTGCGCTCGCATGGAGGCTGCCCATCGCACTGCAATTTTTCTTCATCTTTGTCCTCTACGCGACTGTACCATGGCTTCCTGAGTCTCCGAGGTTAGCTGTTGCGTCTTGACCCCGACGATCCACGGCTAATACGCTTTAGATGGCTTCTGTCCCACGGCAACAATGAGCAAGCCCTCGATGTAATTTCCCGCATCGAGGCCAAGCCAGCCGATGATCCGTACATCATCACGCAGTACAACGAGATCGAATACAGTATTAACTACGAGCGTGAAAATGCCGTCTCCTGGACTGATTTATTACTACGGCGCCAAAAGACAAATGACACTAAGACGTTGCGGCGGATCCTTCTCGGTGCAGGAACTCAGGCTCTACAGCAATTCCAGGGTACGGACCTCCATACAAATACATGAACGTGGCTAATATGCACAGGGATTAACATCATGTCCTACTACCTTCCTCTGGTGCTTATTAACTCCGTCGGCTTGTCGAACAGCATGTCGCGCCTCCTCAGTGCCTGCAATGCGACATCTTACTTTGTGTTCGCCTGCGTGGCAGTCATCATGGTTGAGCGCTTCGGTCGAAGGGGCTTAATGCTGATGTCGACCTTTGGCCAGTTTGCATGTTTCCTGATCATCACTATTCTCCTTCGATTTGCGGAGAACGACGCAAGATATGGTACCGCTTCAGTGGCCTTCTTCTTTCTGTACTACATTGCATTTGGAATTGGCATGCTGGGTGTTCCTTGGCTGTATCCGACGGAGGTCAATTCTCTTCCTATGCGCACAAAGGGTGCAGCTGTCTCGTCTGCGACGAACTGGTATGTCACTATCATCTTTCTGGTCAATGTGTCTCTGTATTCACAATACACAGGATCACGAATTTTGTCATTGTCGAAATCACACCTATCGGGATACAGAACATTGGGTGGAAATTCTGGACTGTGTGGACTATCACGAACGCGGTTTCTCTTCCGATTATATACTACCTGTACCCGGAGACCGGTGAGTGGAACTTCTTGCAGTAACCCATCCGAAAGACGCTGACTATCTCTAGCAAACCGGACTCTGGAGGACCTGGACGCATACTACCGTTCAAATCCACCGCTGATTGTAACGGGAGACCCAGATGCAATCTCGACATGCCGGCCATTGAAGTATATCCAGCACGAGGATGAGGAACTACAGCGGCAGATAAAACAGAGACAGTCGACGGGGGACGAAATTAAGATTGGCTCGGCTACCGTGCAGCATGTGGGATGATACCAGATCCATATATCTCTGCTCATGCCAGATTATTTGAAGCGATAGCTATGAGGGAAGCTCATCAAACCATTACATAAGACCTTGTTGAACAACATATCATGTTTAACAACATATTACGCTAGACAGATTATAAACGGTCTATATCTATAATTCTATATGCAGTTTGTCCAATGCTTAAGCACTCGCCGCAAATCGCATCTCTGCGGCCCCGACATCGAACACTGCCACCACGTTTCTCAAAAAAGTGCCTCCCAGGACAAATATACCCTGACCGATATCTCCTCCAGCATTGATCCCGCTAATGCAGATTTTGTTTCCCGAGTCATCCTTCCCGGCCGGCAATATCATATCCGTTGAATTGATGTAGAATGTCGAACCCCCGATTGTGACACCATGAACTGGCGCTTTCGCGTTACAATCCACCACATACGCCCCCTCGTAGTCATTATACTCCGCCGGGGGAATAAAAGCCGCGTTGACAGCGTCCGCTATGGAGTTTGGGTAGTAGTTCATCGTCGTTCCTGAGTCGACCTGTGATTGTTAGCGGGGTTCGAGTCCAGGACCGGTACACCCTTACAAGATACTGAATGTCACCACCAGCGTCTGGCAAACTGTCGTCGCCTACCGAGACTCCATCAATATTGATAGTGTAAAAATCATAAGTCCTCGGATAGCCTCTGATGTCCGTGATTAGGATAGGCGTGGCACTGAAATTCCCTTTGATGTCGACAGGCGGCAATCCACCAAGTGCCAGATACCCGGCTGCCGTTCCACTAGATGCGTTACGGCTCATCACTATGCTGAAGAAAGGATCAATGAGACCCTGTTCGTACATGGTTGCAAAAATGGGGTTGTAGAGGCTTGGCTGCGTGTAATCAGTTGTGTAGGCGTTCGCGCTGTACCCACCGTCAGTTGACTATCATAACAATAGGACCGAGTAACCCACAGAGAAGAATACGCGAGACCCATCAACCCCGACGTGACACCGTCGCCGTACCAACCCGCATAATCAACCACTCCAATAGTCTGGTCGACCGTGATGCCGGCTAATGTTACGTTCTCGGTACCGATAATACCGGAGAGGATCTCCCCGTCTGCGTACTTGACGTCCAGATACTCGCCGTCGATTTCACCAAATGTGGTATCAGGTGAGTATGCCTGCCCGAATTGGCACTCTGACTGTGCGACCTCCCACCCGCTTTCAGGGTCGATGCATGTGAAATCATCTCGGATGACCCATAAATCACTGGACCCTGTGTCGACGACCACCTCGAATGTCTGATCGCCGATTGTGATTGCTGTTGCCAACCCGCCTCCTTCGGCGAGGGAGACTAGATTTGCGGATCCGGTTCTAACCTGGCCGTTGAGATCGACTGCGCTGCGGGCGTTGCCCTTGTTGTCGATCTTGATGAGCTCAAGGACATGTGGTGTTGTGGTCTTGTCGGTAGTTGGGTTCGTGAATGCTGATGGCTTCCAGGTGCTTGTGCTGAGGTCCGTTCTTCGGGAACGCTGAGTATACAGAGGAGATGCTGCTGTACATGACGCAGAGGCGAACAGGTATAGAAGTAAGCTGCTTGTTGAGGAATGCATTGTGACTTTCTTTGATACCAAACTTGGTCTTCAGGCAATAAAATAGCAGGTTGCATATGCCCTCCTCCCCTCACTGCCAACAACAGAAAAGTTCATGGTTAAATATACTTGAAGAGTTCAAAAAATGAAGTGGTTGACAGTGATATCTTTGATCATCTGCCATGTTGACGGCAACATTCTTCCGCATTCGTTCCGTTCGTCAGCCTAGAACAGAAATTAAACAACATTGACGATTGAAAGCAGGCATAGTATATCTTCAAATCGTAGTTATTACTTTTATCTCAAGAAGGGACGCTAATTCAGTAATTTTTTTGACTTCTAAATCATGCAGCACGGATCCAAAATATAAAATCCACTGTTTTTGATGCCAGAAGAGGAAACATGATTGGCGTCGGAGAAGGGCTTATCGATAAGCACATGATAAGATAACGAATGGCTAAGAGGAGAAAGAGACCAAAATAGAAACTGGTGACAGCCACATTCCGACGCATTTCCGTTTCCATGCTATTCGAAGCAAGGGGCTATCACGGTTTCGGCATCGAAGCGAAAGACTCGGCCCTGCCGACCGGGAAGTAAATACCAGTACATGAAATCAATGAACACTAAGCATCCTCAGAAACTGATCCCCCAACGCATTCGCCGCCTGAGGATTCCCCCCAGTCACCAACTCACGGTCAACAGTGATACTCCCAACCTTCTCTCCGAGCCCTTCGACCATCTCAGCCCCCTCATTACGCAGAGATGACTCCACCTTCTTGATTTCCCCACCCAACATCGTCTCCATGACCTTCTCCTCCATATCACTCCAGCACGTGATCTTATACCCCTTATAGATAAACGACCCATCCCCCGCCTGCTTCGTACTCAGAAACGCAATCGGGCCATGACAGATCGACGCGGTAGGCTTGCTCTTCTCGTGGAAGTGCCGCAGCACCCGACCCACCTCCTTATCGTCACCTAGATCCGAGAGCGGCGCGTGTCCCCCTGGGATGAACACCCCCGCGAAGGAATCCAGCTCCGCATCGCTAATGGTGCTCAGCGGCCTAGGCCGATTGAGACCGTTCTCGCGCTTCATGCGGTCGATAAGCTCGTTCTCTCGCCGGCGTTCGTAAACGTTGCCTGCGAAGGCGAGGAGGGATTCGCTGAGGGGGTCCGGAGTGGGTTCTAGGCCCTTGGGCGACGCGAAGGTTACTTCGTAGCCGGCGTCGATGATTTTCTGGAGAGGTTTGGCGAGCTCCATGAGGAAGAAGCCGGATGGGTGTTCGACTGTTTTGCCGGCGTCGGAGCCGGAGGTTTTCTTTAGGGGGAAGGATTTGGCGTCGGAGAGGATGATGAGGATCTTTTTTGCGGCCATGATGATGTGATTATGAAGTTGATTTGAGTGCACTATCGTTTGAGATCGAGGAAGGTCAAGAGTTGTTGTTATCCACTGGCATATATAGGAATGGCGGAAGGTGACATCGGGATGACGTAGGTCTTGGAACATGGACAGGACTGACATGCATCTTTCATGAATAGGTCATAGTATGACTAAAAGTGAGCGAGGCATATTAGCACAATTTATTAAAGCAGAAAGTAGAACGGGGGATTCTCGGGTACTGTTGAAAGTGCTTGTTCCGGAGCTGATGTCGGCATGCCGGGTATCCTGCGGTGGGCCTCCCACCCTTCGAATTGACTGACATGCCTTTGGTTTCTAAATGTGTAATCATAGAAATTCAACTTCATTTGCGAACAGCCACTTGGTATAATTTGTACATGATGATTGGAAAAGTATATATCAATGAAGAGAAGGGAAGTTAACGAAAGGCAAGTACGGCTTTACTCGGTAATGAAACATGCCGCAAAGAAAGACGAAAAGTGACCGAGAGAGGAAGACCAAAGAAAAGACTATGCTTTAGTGCATTCAGTGTGATGGCTGTACTGAGTCTGAGTGGCATAAGCGTAAAGAGTAGTGGCTTCTGACAGCCCGTGGGATCTTCTGAAATTGCCCTCTTTGGACTCCGGCCGCGGCGATCCGATCCGAGCCCAGAATTGTCGGTGGGCGACTTTGAATAGAGGTTTCAGGTTGGGAAGACACGCCGCTGTGATGCCTACCGCTGCTTCGATGCACGTCCAGACGACGACGGGAATTTGGTTGTCTGCGCAGATGAATGGTTAAATGTAAGAGCAGGACAGCGGACAGAATTACCACTCACAGGTAATATCGGGCCCAGCCTTCGTGAACTCGATCATAGCGACCAATCGTACAATATCAAAGATCAGTGTCCTGGAGTGCGGTTAGCGACCCGAGGCCCAAGACATCTGGACATGGACATGCAACTTACAGTCCGCCAACCATGAACACTCCGGAAAGCAAAAGTCGCTGCGTCTTCGAGATTGGTAGAGCCCATACAACCTTCAATGGCATGATGAGTATGATCAAGTCTGTCAAAATATTCGGGATCTGCTGTCCATAATAGAATTTGGCCGGGTCGATACACGATCCCTCGATCGAAGGCTTCCAGAACTTCTGCACCGGCAAACACATCAAGGCACCGACCAGGAATATACCTAGAGCCCAGAGGATGACAAACGCCGCGATAGCATTGGCGACGATAATCATGCGAGGAACCGAGAAGAGCCGTTTGTATAAGGTGAGAATCGAGAGCTTGATGAAAAGGATACATCCGGTGTACACGAAGGAGTTGGACCATCCGATCTGCCAGGTCATGTCAGCACTTGTCCTTGTGCAAATTCAAATCGCATACTTACCTGGAAGTAAACTTCCAGGTTTTTCTGAGGAATCATGTCTATGTGTGATCCTAAGCCATTGAACAAGACTGCATCTGGTCAGTAGTCGAACTCGCAAAAGAGCGCGGAAAACTCACGAATGGTCACTCCTATTGAGCATCCATATTTGAAGAACTTGGCGATAATCAGCTCACTTGTGGCGAATCTTTCATACACAAACAAATCGATCATACCAAGGCCACGACAATCAGATAATCATCGAGGTACAAACTCGTTCCATTGATCTTTCTCGCTACCAGGCGCAAGACAACGGCAGCTGTGGATATGATGAAGGCAAAGTACAGCGCAATGATAATAGACCGACGCAGGTTCTCGTTTGGATGTTGAAAGTCGCCAGGAGTGCCATTGCCGGATACCTGATCGATTGACATATCGGGTGGTCTGTCCGAGTGTTCTGCAAAAGCGATGAAGGAAAGAAACGAGGGCTAAGATGAATCAACCGTTGAAGAACGAGCAAGGCGGCAGCAATTATTTGGAATCCCCAGAGCCATCTCGATGATGGAAACGGTGCTGCATATTAAAGGTTTCCCGGACGGAATACTCGGCTGTCATCGCTGCCAGATCGGTCACATACTCCATCTTTCTGTAGCAAGCTTTGCAGGGCCCGAAAGATTCAATATTCGGTCGCTCACACATCACATTATTGACACGCTAGCATCATGTTTGTGCCATAGACCTGTCCACAGAATTCGCGAGCGGCCGATCTGGCACCAGAAATGCGCCGTTTCCGCAACCTGGAGGGGTTACGAGCTCTAGCGGTAGTTTGTGGAAGAAGATCAGATGCTGATCACTACGAGAATCGAACGACTGAGCGCAAAGCATAAATAGTACACCGTTCTTTATCGATGCGAGTCATGATTGACATGTACCAAATGATGCAAGTGTCGGTGTGTTTGCCCGAATGTGGATCGAAATCCCTGCCAATCTGCGCAATTTACTACTATACCGGCTTGCCCTTGCTGGGCCTTACAGCCTTGTCTAAACACATCCAGGGAGGCCTGAACTTTCTCCGATAAGGTTGAAGCAAGGTTCCATTGCCGTGAGTGGATCAATCATTTGTCGAATATGATACATCATACTTCCCACCCAATTCTGTCCACTCATCTATCCGGATACAACGCCCGCTCGCTCATTGTTTGCTGTCTTACAAGAAATATCTTTGTTCGTTCACTTAATCGACAAAACTCGCTCTCTCCAAAAGCCGAATGTATTAAGCAAGTCCTGTTCTCGGCAGAAGTTAAGGCTTACGGACTAAGAAAAGACACACTTGACATGTCATATAAAATTTCTTGATCAAGCCGACCAATCTCCCTTGCTTGTCAATAATTTTCTATTATTCTAGAAGACTTGCCCCTGCGCTCCTTTCTCTTGCCTGTTGCGATGAAACACCTCCCAGTTCTTTCTTTGTACTTCTAGTTTTGATTCAATGCCCAGCCACCATGTCTCTTGGTGCCAGTAGGCTGTTTGTCCAAATAATAGTTGCCTAAATTGGTAGCAGATAGCTCGGGAGTATTCCGAAATTGTTGAAGTCTTGATATTTTGCCAATCATCTTTGGCTGGATCTTCTTTAGGGGTTTGCAGAAGACTGGAGCACACGACAACGGGATTTGGCTGCCTGCACAGGTGACACATGGATGCCCTTGAGCGTCCAGATGTGGATGGCGATGGTATCAGATCCAGTTATGCAAGATGAATGTGTTTCTGAATGTTAATTTGTCGAACTCGATGCTGGTTACACTGACCCTTCCGCAACGAGTAGATAGGTGGAGGCTATTGAAATCTAGGCTTATGAAAGGGCTCACCGCGTGTAGAGTAATCTAGATTCATTATTTGTTGTCCAACAATCAAACTCTGCTTTTCAAGTCTTATCCCCACAGGCTACAATGTGGCCACTTCTCCTCAACTTCAATGCAGCTGTAGGAGAGGTATGTGATCCGAAGTGCGTCTCTCTCCTAGTCATGACAAAGCATCCTGTTCTGAAGAGACAGAGCTCATCAACTAACAATTGATCATGCATGCATTATTCATATATTTCGCCTGCACAGTGATATATGCGGTCTGGATTAGAATTTCGCTGGATAACGTAAGGCTGTACCACCTCATGTTCAGGACATTTAGACCTGTATTCGATCCAAGCTTGATTTACATGGGTGCTTCACTTAGGCATGCAGGGATGATCGTGGTTGTTTACTTGGCACTGTTGTCTCATG